CACACAGATTTACCTCTTTCAGGTCCTGGACAATAGCCGTAAGCCTCTCATTCTCTGCCTGAACATTGGTAACCACAGCTCTGCTCTGTTTTAACTCATTCTGCATCTCCAAGATCTTCCCTAGGTAATAAGCTTCCTTAGATGCAGATTCCTGCAAGAGAGTCTCTTCACGTGTTTCACCATCTTCGGCCACTTTGCGGTGGATTGAGAATGATTGTCCAAATGCCTACAAAAGAAAAACAATACATATAATAACATCATGGAAACATCAGAAAATCTACCTGATATAAGAAGCAACTTTGTACAACCAGGGGAAAGCACCAGATCAGCTGCTTCTAAGCTTTGAACAATTTTAAACACTGCATTTATAGCTCACCAAGATAATAGGGCCTCATCTACTTTTCACGAAATGTAACATATTAAAGCTCTCCCTCTACAAAGGTCTCTTCCTACATGTTGGTTTTTTGTGCCTCAATTTAAGGGTAAGGTGACAGAGTTACAAAAGAAGATGAGTTACTAGATTTTCAGGACTTGAACAAGGTGAAAGAATCATTCTTAGGTGCCTTAGTCCTCTTAGGCTGCTTACAGACATTAAAAAAAAACAACCCCCAACTCCTTCATTTAAACTCAGAGAGTTCCTGCACCATGCCCAGACAAGGTACTGCATTAATTGGACCCAGTTCATCCAACATCTGTACTGTATAGGATCAGGAGCTTTAGTGGAGCTTTTTTCAGTGGTTTTTTTTTAATCAGCTATTAGATAAAAGCACCAAAAACCCCACTGAAGTGCCCAATCTATACAGACACCGTGGAGCTGGGTCCAACTAACAGACTGCTTCTTCTGGTAAAGCATGGTTTTTGTTTTGTTGTTTTAACATCTGTAAGCAACCTGAGATATCTAATAGGTTAAACAGAATTTGCTCCTGTGCCCCTGGTTAAAAACTCGGTCACTCTTGAACTAGGTCACCTAATAGCAGTATGTGTGAGTTCCCATTCTAACTCTCAAGAAAGTCAGGCATCCCAAGTACGAAGCAATGCCATTCTGTACAGTAAACAGGGATGCCACATTTTATATCAGAGATGAAAAATCAAAGATAGAGCAACCTTTGTACAATACACTTCTTTTCATTCTATTCTTTCCACTATACGCTCTGCCATCTTCTTTTTATATCCTATAACCAAGAGCAGAAGGCAGGGCAGGGCAGGGTGGTAACTTTATAGATTAATAGTGAGGCCAACCTTGCTGGCAGGAATTCCACAAATCAGCCACACATGCTCCCCAAGCGTTGCTCCGATCCCCTTCCCCAAGCGTCGCTTCCTGTTTCCTTGCTTGTGTTCCTTGCCTGATCTGCTATTTTACTTTCTGCTCCCTGCACTATCTGTGGCTGTGCTCCTTGCTCCCTCCTCCATTTGCCATGTGCCACACAGAGAAGCTGCCTGTGACCCCTGTGCCATCCATGCCACAGGCTGGCCACCCCCGATCTAACTTATTCAGAGAGGCAAGAGCTTTCATAGGCTACAGTTCTCAGATGTTACCCAAAAATAAAAAGGTCATATTATCAGGGGGATACAGGAAACTGAAGACAGACATTTTCCAGTTACTCTCTTTCCTTCCTACCAGCTTGACTGATCCTCTCTCTGTGGCAACATTTTTTACTGGCTAAGAGAAAGGATAGTCACTCCGGACAGGTCTGACTTGATATAGCAGTGGGCATGGTAGACGTTAGCGGTACAAAGGGGGAAGGATGGAAAAACAAAGCAGCCGGGCTTTTATGTTTAAATTACTATTGGTTAAAAAGGAGATGCCAAACTCAAGATCAGGAGGAAAGCCATAGGAAGAAAACAGGTTAAAAAAAAGTGACCATTTTCATACTTGGAACAGCTCTTACAAACATTTCTTAACACAAAATAGTAGTAGTATTTCATAGAATCACAGAGAAGTAGGGCTGGAAGGGACCTCCAGAGCTTATCTAGTCTAAACCTCTGCCTGAGGCAGGATGATCCCTGTCCAAACCATCCTGTACAATCCATAATCTAAACTACCATCAACCCTGACACAATACAGACCTAACCCCCTACCCTGCCACAGGGAAAGCAGGGGAACCATGATAACCAATGTCTGACTTCTTTAAAAGGTTGTCAATATATGCTCAAGAGATCCCAGGCAGACAGCCATGCTCACCACTATAGAGGAAGGCAAAATCCCGCAGTCCATTCCAACGTAACCAAATTCCTTCCTGACCCCAAATATGGCAATCAGTTAGCCCTGAGCAGAGGGGAAGGCCCTCTAACTAGGAACCTCTGGTTATGGTCCCAGCATTGGCGTTGGCACACCCCACTCACAATCCCCAACCTTGGCTGTAGCCAACAACCAGTGACTGAGGAAGACCCATGTAGCAGAAAGGGGAGGTTGGGGCAACCAGCAAAGCCCAGAAGCATGGGAAATACCCACAGTAGAACATAGGCACAGCTATACCTAGATCATTCCTGACCAGTGGCTGTCCAGCCTCTACTTGACCACCTCCAGGGATGAAGAAGCCACAACTTCCCTAGGCAGTCTATTCCACTGTCTCTCTATTCTACCTGGGAAGAAGTTTTTCCAGATAACCAATCTAATCTTACTCTGCTACAACTTCAAGCCACTAGTCCATGTCCTCTTCTCTGTAGCAAGAAAGCTGCTTTCCCTCTTCTTTATGGCAGCCCTTCAAGTATTTGAAGACTGCTATCATATCCCCTTTAAAGTGCCTTTTCCACAACCTTGACATGCCTAGCTTTTTCAGACTCTTCTCATATGAACTGCCTTCCAAGCTCTTGATCATCTTTGTTGCCCTGCTCTGGACCCGCTGGCAACACGTAGGGGGTGCACACAAGGGCACGTGCACACCCTGAGCATGGCAATGCACCCCCTATGAAAAGGTGCCACCCACTACTCACCACCCCTGCCGCTGACACCCCTGTCTGCAGTCTGCAGGCGGTCAGAGATTGCCGCTGGCCACTGCTGATGGCGTCTGTGGGTAGTCACCGTTGCCTGCTCAGCACTCCCCACCATCCGCCGCTGACAGCACTGGCCGTGTTTGTGGTAGCTCCCAGTTTACCGCCGCTGTGCTCCCACCACCACCGCCACACTCTTGCCTCCACTATGCCCCCCCAGCCACCAAGGGCATGCATCATTCATGTCTGGACCCTCTCTAACTTCTCCAAATCCTTTTAAAAATGTGGAGCCCAAGGGCTCTGAGATCTTGTCTTTCAGGTCCTTCAGTACCCTGGGATGAAGTACCCAGCCCTGCTGACTTGAATTCATTCAGACTCATCAAAATCTCTCTGTATCTTTTGCTGTCTCCTTCCTAAGCTCACCACCTTCCTTAACAAAATAAACCTTATTAGGTATCTGACTGCAGCTTAATTTTTTTTTGTGAAGACTGAGGCAAAGTAGCTGTTGAGCAGTTCTGCCATCTTTGCATCTTCTGCTAAGAGTTCCCCCTGGCTTCTCAACAGTGGACCCACAGCTTCCTTGGCCCTTCTTTTGAGGCCAGTATACTTATAGAACCTCTTCCTGTTGTCCTTAACCTCCTTCACCAGGTGCAGCTCATGCATTATCTTTGCCTTCCTGATTTTGTTCCTGCCAGTTTATGCTATTTCCTAGTAAACTTCCTTGGTGACCTGCCCATTCTTCCATTGCTTGTATGCCTTCCCTTTACATTTGAAGCATGTTAATGATCATTAATAATTATTATTGAAAGCAATTATATTAATAATAGGAAATGGTGATAACTTTCCCATTTCAGGATGGTTAAAATGTTTTGGAAGCATCCATTCCTTTAATGCAGATAGTCCCAAAAATCCAATTTTTGCTGTGCCATTCTTAACCAGATCCCCTGAATCACAAAGAATACTATACGCTTGTTCCTGTTATAAAATATGGTCTCCTTTACCATCTCATCAATAACATCATGCCAAATTAAATTCATTGCTTTCCTGTTGTTATTTATAGTCTTCTCAGAACATATGTAATGTTTTACTGGCATCAGGACTGAAACCACTCTTGGGAACTTTGGAGCAAAACTCTATACAAAACTTTGTAATTTTTAAGTAGTGTTTGAACAATTCTGTGAATTCAGCATTAAAGGATTCTAAAATATTCAATAATGTATTAATCCAGCTGTCTCTTCAAAAGGTCACAAGTTCTGAAACAGCAGGAGTCAGCAACTTGCTGGATTAAAAAAACCCAACAAGTTCAATTTAACATAATGAAACTGTTAACTCTGATTCAGTCAATACACCTGTGAGCACAAGAAGACTGTTTCAGGAGCAATGCTGATAAACTGCATCTTATGAAATAAAGTTACATTCAGTAGCCTCCTATTCATGATTAGTGAGGTAAGGAACTGAGTGCCAGTGGGCACATCTACATGACATGTTTAATGCACAGAAGACTGACTTTACTACACATTAGTGTGGCTGGCAAAAACTGTGCTAATGTGCAGTAGATTTAGTCTAATGCGCATTAATGTTACTTAAAGACCATTCTTCTGCATTAATGTGCAGTAGCACTGATTATGGTGCATTAAATTAGTATCTGTTATTACTTAATGTAGACATGCTCGGTTTATCTGAAGGACCACAAACAATATGCTGTTGATAGCCAGACATGCATCTAGGTAGATATATACCATTACAGTAGCTATGGCTGGATTTGCTACAGAAGGTAACCACCCATGAAAAGATGGGAGGCAGTGAGGGCCTAAATAACTAGAATATAACAGACAGATGCCAGAACACAGTTGTAGTACCTCCTGGATATTTTACAAGCCCTTTTCTTTATATTTGATTTTATATATAATTTTCCTGGCATATACAAATCTGAGCCACAAGTGGAAATCATTCACAAAAGGATCCTTTTCCTCTGTCATCCCCTCTCCTCACAATTCCAGTTATAACTATTTGTCCATAAAAGTAGCAGAGGGCAATTAGCAGACAAAAATATAGGGGTTCTCAAGCAGGTATT